TATGTAAAGTTGAACTTTACTTGTTCAGAATTTTCTAAAATTCTGAATTCTAGGGGTGAATGTGGGGGTGAGGGTGAGAATGAGTGTGTATAAGCAACTTTACATGTATGTAAAGCTCAGAATTCTAGAATTCTTAATTCTGCAGATAATAGCAATGTATGAACTTTACATTTTGTAATTATAATCGCGCAGCCCTCTCAACGCAGAATTATTTAAACAGAAAAAACGCCGTATCTCATTTTCTAGTTTCGACACGTTTTAAAAAAATGTTTTTAAACGTGAAATTAAACATGACGTTTCGTCGCATTCGTGAAAAAAGTCGAGGAAAACCGAGTTCTTTTAACAATGCGTTGAAATCCAAAAATAAAAATTGGTCTTTTAGTCTGTTTTCACAAATGTTATGAAACGTCATCTTGAGTTTCGCGTTCAAAAAAGGTTTTCTTTTAGATGTGTGGAAACTAGAAAAATAGTTATGGCGTTTCGTCGCGTTTATGAAGTAAACGGACTAAAACGCCAGTTTTTATTTTTGGATTTCAACGCATTTTTAAAAGAAACTCAATTTTCCTCGGTTTTTTTTACGAACGAGAGGAAACGCCATGTTTAATTTTGCGTTTCAGAACGTTTTTTTATAAACGTGTCGAAACTGGAAAATAAGATATGGTATCTCTTTTCGTTTTCCCTTGAAACGCGTAGAAAAGCGTTCTCTTATGTTATGGTTCCAGTGCGTTGAGAAAATAAACGGATAGCAAGGCGTTTTTCCAGTTTCTCGTTCCAACGCTTCTACGAAAAACCGGATTAAAACACGTTTTTTATTTTCTCGTTTTGATGAGACAAGTCACGTAGAAAATTTGGCAATGGGCAAGGCAGTCCAAAGAGTAATTGTTGAAGCGAAAAAGAAATTTTTGAAGTTCGTTGAAGAAGAAAAAATATAAAGCATCTTAGTATCATATTGTGAACGAGGTTCATATCTATGATTATTTTTGGTTGGTAATAATGTTGTTAAGTAGGAAGACGTGAAACTTCCAACAATTTTAGGGGATAAAATTAGTTTATGTTGGCGAAATAATACTTCATGTGGTGTCCAACCTAACACTCCTAGGATATTTTTAGTATCCGCGAAGTGCCGTGCATCGGTAACTAGTAATGAAGCTCTATATTGCAATCGCGTTAAGCATATTGGGTTTACGGAATACGAGCTTGTATACACACACTCACCATAAGTGAACGCAGTTAGTCACCTATATGCTTTGAAAATTCGTTTTAACGTGGTTTTAGCATTCATAGAGCGCGAGAATATACAGTTTCACCCTCAATACGGCGAATTTCTTGAGCTTTAAATATATGTCTTAATCAAAATCGCGTTTTTATCATCAACAATTCGCGAGTTTAGCTTCAAACTCTGTTTACGAAAAATTTAGCGTGTTTAAGGCAACCTATGATTACGTCAAATGCGATTCTCGCGCTTTTTTTTCAAAAGAATTTCTCGCGGTAAATTTTTTATAAACAGAGTTTCACGCGATATTTTGAAGCTAAACTGGCGTTTTTTCACGCTTTTTTTGATGACTATGGCTGACTGAGTACTTATTTCGGCTCAGAAATATTTTCAAGAATTTCTGAGACTACCATCGGATTCCTCGCAAAAAATTGCGCCGAAAAATTTAGCTTTTAACAATATCAGATATACTATGGGGACTTTGGGTTTTTTCTATATGAATTTTGACTATACCATCAATGCAACGCGACAAACTCGAGATTAGCTCAAGTACCGCGAAAAACGAATTAGTCTATGAAAAGTGCGAGTTTAGCTTCAAAGTATCGCGCGATACTCTGTTTACCTCTACTTATTTTTTGTCAAGGCTTTAACAAAACATCTATCTAGTATAACGAAATAAAATAGCAATAATTAAAGGATAGTTATTTCTATTTATACTACACATAAGTCTAACAATAGCGTTTCTTCGAAAAAGGAACCTTTATATTTCCGGATATCGAGCGGTGAATTCATAGATAATTTACGCGATGGACTTTCCCGGAAGACCATTAGCATCATTTTCGATATGTCATTCGATTTTTTTGGGTATGCGTTCAAACAAGAAAGCGTTAAATGAATTAAATAAAAAGAAGTAAAAGTCAATAGTGGAACAACCAATTTGCAAGACGAATCGCACATCCCGAAGAGAGGCTCAGGAAGTCCCTTTTGTCAAAGAATTGTCTTTTGGAATTGTCACAAAGCTCAAGCTGCTAATGTAACAACGTTGCCTACTACTAAAGGTATGGAAAGACCACTGTCGGCCCAAGGAAAAATTATTTCGAACACGGTTTTTCCTCGGCCATAACTGAATTGAAGCGTTTTTAGGGGTGCCAGAATAGTGAAGTCTGACCTTATCTAATACTATCAAGCGTTCTCATACTACTAGCTGGAAAGAGCATACAAAGTTGCATATTTCTATCCGCAAATGAGATTTTCTCTTCTGACATTAGGAAAGAATTTTTGACTGAAAACCTTAACTGCATTAGCAGATATCACTCGTTTTATAGCGTGCTGGACGAGCTCAAAACCCAAGAAAACATAACTTTATTTATATTCTTTCATTTCTTTATGGTAAGCGTAGGTGAGACCTACTTTGGTCCTTCCTGGTCTCCTCCCGCGAAAATTACCCGTTGGTTCTCCGAGATCTTGTTAGTTCACACACTACTCGACTAGAGTCACAAAAGGCGCAAGGTATTGACTTTGGCCAGATGGTTTTTCTTGTGACGGTTTTCCAGAAACCTGGTCAAAATCCCCAGTTACTAATAAATATTGACTCCAAACTAAGCCGAAATTCGGATTCAGCATGTTATTTTATAGGTAATTTAGTACTTTTTTCCGTTCCGGACCCTAGTCAGATGATAGGATTTTGACGGGATTTGTGGAAAACCGTCACAAGAAAAACCATCTGGCCAAAGTCAATACCTTGCGTCTTTTGTAGCGCTAGTCGGGTAGTGTGTAGACTAATAAGATCTCGAAGAACCGACGGGTAGTTTTCGAGGGAGGAGATAAGTTGTCTCTAATGCCAAATTTTCTTTGCAAGACTACCTACGACTACGGCGAAATTATGGCTGTTCCTTCGTCAGCGTAATCTTCATCCTTTTTTTGTTTTTCACAGATTTCTTTTATGTGTTTTAGCTTTGAAAAACTATTCCTTTTAAACCTTTGGTGGCTTTAGTCTTGGCAATTTAAACCTTTCCATCGCCGGCGGACCATGATCGGCCGCGATCCAAAAATTCTAACTGTAAGATATGTTCTTAATAATTAATTTCTAAGATCGAAAAAAAGTTGAAAAGTCTATTCGTTCAACTTCGCTTTACATCTTGTAGTAAATTAAATTGTGATTCCATCCACTGCTTCCACTCCGAATCAGAAAAACGTAGTTTTCTAGACATCATCAGGTTGACAAAAACCTAAGATCTAATTGAAAGCTTGGCGCAGGTCAGTCCGTGTAGTTAGGTATCTAGTTCGACATAAAAGAATCCCAACTTCAAATTTCAACAATGTCTGTTAAACTTGGTCGTTAAGGAAGCAGGAAGTCTTCTCAAATATTCTATTACTTCATAATAAATAATATTCTAAACAAATATCAGTCGATCTTAGAATTAATCATTAAGAACATATCTTACAGTTAGAATTACAGTGCAATTATAACTAGTTAGTTATAAGCTCGGTCGTTTTCACTGAAATAAAAATTTTATGGCTGAAATCAAATGACTTTGTTTTTCTGGGAGTTTATTAATTTTCTAAAAACAAAAAACAAAAAACAGCATAAACAATAGAAATAAAACAGTAAACTGCGACACCATCACCAAACTTTTTTCCAAAACACTATCAATCATAGAAAATAAAAATCTTGAAGAACAAACGATACAGGACAAGAATAGAATAAACATCCGAGTATAGACGATATTGAAGCATTTCCTGTTAGGAGATGCAATATGACATAGACACATCGAATGCGTTATAGTTCACGAACAGTTTTTGAAGCTAGGACGGATGATAGCAATGACCATTCATCTAAACCCAGGAAAACCCGGCAAACCACCACCGGATGAACCTCCGTCAGACAAACCACCCCCGAATATGTCTCCTCCATCGAAATCACCAATAGATGATGCAACAGCCGACTCAGCTACCGTGAGAGCGTTTGTTTGGATTAAAACTGCTGACTGACCAGATAAACCACTTGATGAGTGAAAAGTAATTGAAACTGACAAAGCTTGATGTAATGTGGCATTACCAACAAGAACGCTTGCCCCACTTGAATTTTGTGTATAAATACCTATACCATGTCTGACATTCTGAAGCGAAAAGGCCTGACCAGACCGGAGACTAATTGATACCGATGACTGTGCAACACCGGGTGAGGTCCACAGACCACCAGTTCCGACAGGCGTATATGCCATTGTCCAAGTGTAAAGGACACCAGTATATGCACTACCACCTATTGAAGCTACACTAAGTAAATGAACATTCATAGTACCAACGTTGACTGGTTTTTGAGTCCCATGCCGGGCTGTTACCGACAAAGTATCGCCACCACCATATGTAAACAGAGCATAGTCACTGTCAGATCCAAGGTGGACGCTCAGAGAGTTTAAGTCTGCCGCTCGACGTTTTCGTTCTTCTGATGATGCTACTTGAGGTGTTATTACTACTGCTAACACAATTAAAGTTATTAATGTTTTATTGATATTGTGTAAGGCCATTTTCATACGTTCGAGAAATGAAAACGGACCAGCAATACAAGTGAATGTGTGTGTATGAATTTTGTTTTGTGTTTCTGTAAATAATAAATTAGTGAACGAAGAAACAAAGGAAAGAAAAGAGCAAATGCAAGGACGAAGAGTAAATTATACGTAATGAGCCTCAGTATTCTCTTTCTAAACTAGTCCAAAGCACTCAGCCATGTTGTAGAGCTAATTAACAGAAAATTTGGCAGAAAACTATCGTACACCTTGACTGAAAAACATTATCAGCTCGGATAAAAATGTTCAGATGGAAAAAAATGGAAAAAAGGTTTCCGTTTTCTTTTAAAGAGAAGTTTTCACTTACCGATAAAATATATTATTAAAAAATCACATGAACAATCAAACTTTTTTAGAATAACACTTTGTAGAAAGTCTTCACTCTGAACTGGATAACTGTTAAGAAGTGAACTCTATCCTATGCTGGTATTACCATTCTATTATCGAATAGTTATCTTTCTTCTGTTACGTATTTTGAGGGAAGTGGATGATGAAATAAGGAGAGAAAAGAGAGATCGATGGAAGAGAAGGGTGTGAGCATCTGACAGGGGGTTCCTCACAGCTGTGCGATAGAAACTTAATAAATAATTTTACAGTATAACTTAATTAAAAATTCGAGTTAACAAAAGCTTCTCATCTTTTTTCTAATTATAAGACAAAGATTAGGTTGGAATATGATGAAAAGAAGCTCATGATAATGAAAGAACGAGAGAGACACGCTCGGAGCTAGAGTCTCACAGTAAACAAAAAGTAGTTCGAAGAAAACGCGAAGTTTTCACCAAATTAAAACTGTATATTTGGATTCTGTCACGGTTGAGTGACGTTGATATGATGCATAATGACGTAATGTGACACACAGAAAAGAGAATCACTGTGTTTATGGTGTGTTCGATTCTTGCATGGACTATACAAACATTGTATTCGAAACACATTTATAAAGAACCTGGGTTTCATATTCAGATAAACACGTTCGTGTTTTCTTCAAGCTATCAGATGACCCTCACTCAACCGTGACAGAATCCAAATATACAGTTTTAATTTGGTGAAAACTTCGCGTTTTCTTCGAACTACTTTTTGGTCCGTTTTCATTTCTCGAACGTATGAAAATGGCCTTACACAATATCAATAAAACATTAATAACTTTAATTGTGTTAGCAGTAGTAATAACAGCGAGTTTTGCAGCTCCAGCTGCTGGGGGTGATAATTTGGTAGTAGCATCATCAAAACAACGAAAACGTCGAGAAGCAGACTTGACACCCTACGTTGTCCTCCTAGGGTTTGATAGTGATTATGCTCTATTTACATATGACGGTGGGGATGGTTTGGCGGTATTGGCCAGTCACGCTGATGGTCAGTCAGTCAATGGTGATGGTGGATCAGTCAGCGTTGGTACTATGAATGTTCATTTACTTAGTATAGTTGGAATACTGGCTGGTGAGCATAAAGGCGTTGATTCTTCTGGTAAGGAGCAGAGTATCTATCCCAGTTGGACAATGGCATATGCGCCTGCTGTAACTAATGGCCTGTGGACTCACCCCGGAGTTGTTACACCGTCGTTATCAGTCGTTCTTGGGTCGAATCAGTCTTTTTCGCTTCAGAATGATGGTATAGATAATTTAAATTTTTATACTCACGATTCAAGTGGTAAAACCAGTCTTGCCGGTACTGCCACATATGCTAAGCCTTTGGCAGTTTCAATTACTTTTCAGTCGTCAAATGGTACATCTGGTAACGCAACGGTTTTAATGCTAGCAAACATCCTCCCGTTATTTTAGGGGTATTTACGTCTGTTAAAATGAACGGTCGCAGCTCTCATCAGTCGTAGTTTCAAAGACTGTTCGTGAACTATAACGCATTCGATGTGTCTATGTCATATTGCATCTCCTAACAGGAAATGCTTCAATATCGTCTATACTCGGATGTTTATTCTATTCTTGTCCTGTATCGTTTGTTCTTCAAGATTTTTATTTTCTATGATTGATAGTGTTTTGGAAAAAAGTTTGGTGATGGTGTCGCAGTTTACTGTTTTATTTCTATTGATTATGTTGTTTTTTGTTTTTAGCCATAAAATTTAAATAAAATCTACACGATGTTTCTTCGCAAAGTTAGAGAATTTACAAGAAAAGCCCTAAATTAATTTCTTCTTATTTCTGTAGCTTTGAGCTGACAATGGACATTTAGGGCTTTCATTATAAGTTCCATAACTTTGCAAAGAAACATCGTGTAGAGCTGGGAGATGCCTCATTTTAATCACCCTTCATACCTATATTAGGTGGAATAACTCATTTCTGCCTATTTTCGAGTATAATTAGAAAATTCATAATCCAGTCAAGATCAATCTAAATTATGTCAGAATATCAAGATGTACTATATTTTACTTGCTCAAGACGATATTTTACGTCGGAATAGTAAAAACATTCTTGTACTTCGAAAGATTTCTGAAAACCGTTTCAAAAAAGAAGGTATTTGTGTTGATTTTTAAAGCCTTTATTGAACTGCATAGTATTGAGCAGGTAAAATAGAGTGCATCTGGATATAGTGACATAATTTAGATTGATCTTGACTGGATTATGAATTTTTTAATTATATATATACTCGAAAATAGGCAAAAATGAGAGGTTTCCATTAGGTTGTTGAAGGTTTTCTGAAAAACAATTATTGCCGAGAGTCAGCGTGGTTAATTACCTACATTTCCATTATTTTCGGAATTATCACACCTAAAGAAGTACCTGGGACTCTCAGCCAATCCAATGCCACTCCTGAACCGGGAAAACTCAAAAGTTCTCTTAGTTCGCATTTTGAAGAGGACACTTTGGACTATCCATCTATGGAAAAAAAACTGATAGATTGTTGTCTCAGTTTCCCGAGATCCGAAGTGCTTTTCCAAAGCTCTCCTTCTGAATAGTTTCGGAAAAGGGTCTTGCTTATGAAAACATAGGTTAGACTGTCTTCTTTTGATTGTTGTCAAAGGTCGGAGCGCGATTTTCGGCAGAGGAGAGAAAAACAGTCAGAAAAGCACAAAATATAAACGAATACCACGTTCGCTCTGAAACTGACTCACACTCTTAGAGTGTCACTTCGGCACTTCGAGTGACACTTCGGTCATAAGTGCACACATTTGAAGTGAGATTTTTCCCCCTTGAGAGTAGTACAGAAAAAATGGCTTTTTTTGTGTAATCACCGATTTTTTACCAAACGTTTTCATCGGGTGGACATTTGCGTCGACTGACTCTAAAACAGTTCAAACGTTGTGTTAGTTAGCTTCTGTTGTCTTATGCATGGAAAAAACATTCGCTCTAATGTGCATAGATACTCACTTTCCATATAGGAAGAAATGTGTTTAGTTGATTTTGTCTGACTGACTTTAGCCATACAACCAGCTACGTGTGCACTAAAACTTCTGGTACCGTTTTTCACCTCATATGCCAATAACTAATTACAGTGAATACACTGAACAAACGGTTCGTAGTCCTCATTGTTCGTCTTTATTCTTAATAGACTATTCCAAAAATCAGGGGTCGCTAAAATAAGCGATTTATTTTCGACAGATAGCCTTTCTTCTTTCAATAGACGTGATATTTCCTTTTTCTTTCTTTCTGCTTCTCTTCTTGGCATGCCTCCCGTTTCAATTCTGATTAGTTTTTTTCAATATGCAAATATGTGATGAACCGGAAAGAAAAGTTTGAAAGAAAGAAAAGATCGAAAGAAGCGTTCATCCAGCTACCGTTATTACTGTTTATAGGTTTTCTAACAATCAATGTAAATCAAGCTTTATATTGATGTCAAACAAAAGATCCCTGGCATAAAAAGTATATTTGTTTTTTTTATATTGCCAGTTGCACCCAAAATAGGTGTCTTGCATCCGATAAAATAAAGAGTTTAAAATTGAGGTCGGTCGCGACCGACCTCAATGTTGTATCAACGATATATCTTTTTTAGACGAAGCCCTACCCTACCCTGCAGGGTAGGGTAAGAGCGTCCTGCACATCTCTAATGTCGAATGCCCATGATTTTTGAAGTTTCTCGAAAAATCTCTCTAACAAATAACAAATTGCGCTCCACTATCAGACAGTATTTTTATGGGAACACCATGACGGCATATAACTTCATGACACAAAACTTGTACGATTTTTTTCGATTTTATACCCCCTAAAGGAAAACGTTCTATCCATTATCCGTGGATACTATCGGAATCGATCTGACCAGTCCTCTGCCTGAAACTCCCCGAGGAAATGCCTATAGTTTAATTGTTATCGACTATTTCACAAAATGGGTAGAACTTTTTTCTTTAGAGGGTATAAAATCGAAAAAAAATCGCACAAGTTTTGCATAATGAACAAATTAAGTTTGCCATTTTTCCTTGCTAAAAAGGAAAAAATTTAAACTTTTCTCTAACCGTTAAAAGAGATGAACAAAACTCAATGCTCTGCCCAATCTACATGCATTTTCCGAACGCCAAGGCCAAAAATGCATGCTTTTAAAGACTGCCGGTTTCTTGGTTTTTTCGCAAAATGTTTGGGGTTGCTTCGACACCATTTGAAAGGGGATCTCAAACTCTACAAAACTGGGAAAGAAAAGAACAAAAATATTCTGTTGGGAAAGCATGCTAAATTTTCGAATTTTCGTCCGCTAAAACTAGCTGGAAAATCACTTTCGAGAAATTTGATTTCCATGTAGTTTTATTGCCCCAAGTGTTCTCTTTCGAATGGTGAAACCCGTAGGTCGTTAGCTTTTGTCATTAAAACGTTATTCAAACAACATTCGACTGCACGGTTCATTGAAACAGATAGTAGCTATTGTGTGTTTCATCTGTGAAAGTCTTTTAGTTTTATTGTCTTTCCGCATGTTTGAATGAATTATAAATTTAGAAAAGAAAGATATTTAGCTTGTGTTAGAGTTTTATTGTATAAATGATAAAATAAACTGCACACACATCACTGAATAAAATAAACACGCGTATTTATATGAAATGGAAAGCGACTGAATACATTTTAAAAATAAAAACTTTCAAAAAAAAAGCTTTCAAAAATAAAACCACTCAAAAATTGACAAAAAGATCTTTATCTTTTCAGTAATATACTGAACTTACTTCATGGCAACATATTTCACTTACAAGATTGCCATCATCTTAGCATTTCAGCATTTCAACATACGGCTAGTCTGACCTGCTCCATACTGTTGGTTACTCCGTATCTGTAATTTCGGTCACCCTCACTCTCAGCTTGAGCGATAATCACTTATAGCTCCTGGAGAAATAACTAAAAACCATAATAATAATGCACCAGGAAAACACGATCGCACATAAATCTAATTCAGTCGACGAGATAGAAGTAACTGCAACAATTGCAGCACTACACCAATCAAATAATCAAATCCCATTCTTGTTCTCGTAAAAATTGATACGAGATTCCCATAAACCACGCGTATTCTTGATAAAATAGCCTCCATCGTCATAAACACCCCTCACACCCTCCCCTCACCCTCACTCCCTTAGAGGGTTGAGCAAGGCCGAAATGTGTCATGGTTTCCTTGACTCATCCTCACTCGAAATCGATATTATAATTATGAAATATAATATCTTCAAGTACACTCCTATGTAATCAAAATCAGATCAAAATATCGAAACGTTAATAAAAAAGACATCACTCGATACAACGAACCCAAAAGCTTGAAAGCTAAAATTTTATACGTAATCGGAAGTGTATATAAAGGATAGAGTAAGATAATTGCAGTCCGAGTGCTCCTATGAAGATGATAGGAAGTTCAAGCTCTTTTACTGCTTTATAATACTGCACTCTATATATCTCATTTTAGACCATCCAAATTTTTTTTGAGAGCTGTAATATAGATTATACCTTCATGACGCTCCGACTTCACCGTGCTAACATCGACCGCATGTTTAAAAGGGATATTCAGTGTAAATTTGCCAGGAATTTGTGATATATGAATAATATCAACGGCTTGTACTCCAAAGTCATTCCGACTACCATTTATGGTAATGCCAGTTTCTGCTATGGCAGTATCGAGTTCACCTTTTTTAAAACCCGAAAGTTCAAGAAATAATCGAATCCCATCCTTGTTCTCGTAAAAATTGATACGAGGTTCCCATAAACCACCTGTATTCTTGATAAAATAGCCTCCATCATCATAAACAAGCTTTCCTGAGAGTTCCATTGGATGAGGATCTTTCATCAGCTCTGGGAGGTGCTTTCGGCTACAAAGTACAATATACGGTTGGCTGTCATGTTGGACGATTTGGAGATCGTCTTGATCATCACCGCTTTCAGCAGGCTTTTTTCCGAATAATTGTATAAGTCGTGTGTTGATGAAAGTAAGCATGGCAGTGACTATATGAAAACTCCTTTTCGCCTCTGTAGGTACTTGTAATATATTCATGATACCATCCAAAGATTTTTGATTCCATACGTTAGCAGCCTGAGAACCATCTTTGGCCAAAATAAAGTGATTCAACTGAAAATTGTAAAGTTTTGATGCATAGCAAAGAGTGCTTGTGATTTTACCGTTTACTCTGAATTGTTTTTCGAGCCTCAAAGCACTAAATGTAAGCATGATTTCTTCTTCTATTATTTTGTTAACATCAGCAGCTGTTTCAATATCATCCAAGTTATGAACAATTATGATGCGTTTTCGATCGTCTTGATATTTACAATGCTCCAAGACTTTATCAATGTATACCTGATCTGTTGCACGTAATCGATTTACGACAATGATGATAAAAGAACTTAGATGAACAACTACTTCTCGAAGAAGTGCTTCAGTAGCTCTCTGGTGAGCAAGTTTCTCGCTTGTTACCGGTGTATCTGTACCAGCTGTATCCATGAAAACAATATCGATATACTCTTTTCCTCCAGCTGTAATAGATATACCTTCCGTATGGATCAAATGGTTGTGAGGAAAGACAACGTTACAAAGCTTACTAAGTAAAAATATTTTACCACGATTGTAAGCGCCCAAAATTGCAACGGTTACGCCATCCGTAGTTGTAGATGTTGGTTCTTGTAGTACCCGCTTTTGTTCATTTTTCTTAAGTATAATTTCCCAGCCACATGTTTTTAAATCTTCCAGACTATTGATACCGATAATAACATCGTATAACAAGTCGTGTTGTCTATACTTGGCCAATAGGAGTGTTCCGTTATCTTTGTCACGGAGTGCAAGATCACTTAAAATAGTGGCAACTGCCATAATACTTAATATTCTGAAAAACAAACAAATAATCATTTAATAACAAGTGATGTTCATCGGCTTCCGATTCATTCGCGCCTAGACTGGCCGATAGTAAAGTGTGCGCATCCCTCTCTTCTTTTACAAACCGTGACAGACACCTTAGTCTGTTTTGTAACAGAGGTCGTGGCAGACATCCCACAATCAAAAAAACAGGTTCATTACCGAACTTTAAAAGTTGCGCATTTTTCCGCCGAACAGTTTTAAGTTGAATAGGTTAAAAATCGCTTCGTACTTTTCCTGCAAAACTTTTGAAGTTCCGCGGTTTTTCCACAAAACCTTAGAACGCTGGAAAGTTCCGCACATCATAAGCTAAATCGTGAATGATTCCGTGGTACGGTGAGAGATTTCACACATCATCAACTAAACCATGGATGGCTCTATAGATGGATGGAAGGTTTCGTACATCATCAGCCAAATCACTGACGAGAATTTCGGAATACTCCGTACTATGTTGGTGGAATCCAAGGGGAGAGAAGCGAATCCTGAATTTCGGGATGCTGGTGAATCCCGATGGATTTTGATGAGAAAAGTTATCATTAATAGACAGTTACGTGGAGAATCCATTCTAAACCTGTAATCAGCGTGGACAACACTATATTTTGCCCCTACAATAATAGAGAAAACTCTAGCTGATATCTGATTGGGTGGGAACGATAAAGCTTATAGTCAATCAGATTTTAGTAAGATTTTTCTCACTACTGTTAGAGCTAAAAATAGTGTTGTCGACGCTGATGACGGGGTTAATAGGGCTCTCGTTTTATTTCACTCGAACAATACCATGTTGTGCCCTAACAATAGCGGATAAATTCTTTCTCAAATCTGGTTGGCGACGAACTTTTTTGTAAGGACCAAACATGGTATTGTTCTGGCCACAAGAAAGGGGATTCTACAAACCCCCATCATCAGCGCGGACAACGCTGTGTTTTGCCCTTGCGCTAGTCAAGAAAAGCCTTGCTCAATTCTGACTGACTTAAAACTAATCAGTCTCGACCAATCCAATTTTCGCAAGGATTTTCTTCAGTATTGTAAGAACAAAACATATAGCCGTTCAGACCGTACGTGGATTTTGATGGGACTCTCTTTTAGATGACTCGAACAACACGATGTTTTATCCGTACAACAATGGACGAAAAGTTTCTTGAGGAAAAGTATTCCGTAGTGCGACTGTTAAGTCTACAAATTGGAGAAAACATCTCACGACTGAGGTTGCAAGACGTAAAAAAGATTTGAGGAACTTTAGAAACAATCGTTGTTTTGTGAAATAATCTTTCTTTCATAGAGTCCAAAAATTTTCCATTACCCATCCTGGTATCTAAAGTCACTTCGGAGGTCGGCGAACTGTGCTCAAACTCAAGACGCAGTTTTGGTGGCCTGGGATGATCAATGTGGTGAAGAATCATGTCGCTTCATGTGAAAAGTGTGCCCAGCTCAACATTCTCCGCAACAAGGCGCCAGATCACCTGAAGCACATAGAGCCACCCGACTATGCCTTCCAAGTCATTCATATGGACTATTGGGACTCGACACCAGCAACAGACGAAGGCAACCGATACGTTCTTGTCCTCACGGACAATCTATCAAAGTACGTCATCGTCGAGGTCCTGCCAGATTGCACTGCCAACTCTGCTGCCACCGTACTATTGGAGAAATATATCCTTGTGCACGGAGCTCCGCAACGAATCATATCGGACAATGGCGTGCACTTCTCCCACAACTACATGAAGACGATCACCGAGACGCTGGCCATCAAGCATGCTTTCTCTGCATCTTACCACCCGCAGACGAACGAGCAAGTGGAACGGTTCAACGCCACCTTCGGTACCCAGTTTGCCAAGTACCAGGACGCGGAGCACAACAACTGGGACCGTTATCTACAGACCGTCGTTTATGCCTACAACACAGGTGTTCACTCGTCTACTGGCTTTCCACCCTATGAGTTGGCATTTGGACGCAAACAGAAGAGCCCATTTGACATGGTGGCTCCCACTGCCAAGCTGTCCCAAGCCGACGACTTCTACAAGCGAGTGGCATAAGCCCGACGGATACTCACTCGGCAAGCCCGCTTCAATATACAACATCAGCAGTCCTTGGCGAAGACGCGTTACGATCTCAACCGCAAGGATCCATCATACAAGGTGGGCGACCTCGTCTATGTGAAGGTCTGTGTCGGTCGCTCAAAGCTCGACGAGAGATGAGTGGGTCCCTGCAAGGTGATCGAAGTACAAGGGGAGCAGCACTACCTCTTAGAAGATTCCGCAACTGGAAAAAGAGACCGCGCGCACGTCAGTCAGATGCAGCGACAGACATTCCAGTCACAAATCCGATATCTATTCAAGGTTTTCCGAAATCTCAATACTTTAAATACTTGTAAATGTTATAATCTAACTCATGCGCAACTCTTGCAAAACTCTTGTTTAACTTTTGTACTATATATAGCCGTTCATTTGCTTCAAATAAAAAATATATAGGAGTGAGAATTGAATCTCACAGCAACTCCACTTCTACCATTAGAGTTAGTCACTAGAGGATCCATATCTTCAGAGTAAATTCATATTTATCTTTCTCCTCGGATGGGGTCATTCAACGTAGGTGAAGTTAGCACAATATGCGAGTAAAATCGTACTACATTCGTCCAGGAGCCTGTTCCAAACATTCCAGTCGATGTTCCAAGTACAACTCGACGAGCTCTATCCAATGATATGCTCAGATTTACCATAGCTCAAACTATGATTTTTGAGATCATAGAAGGCGTTATCGAAAATCTGAAAATCATAGTTTGAGCTATGATAAAGCTGAGCATACCATTGGATAGAGCTCGTCGAGTTGTACTTGGAACACTGATTTGAACGTTTGGAACAGCCCTTGGACGAATACGGGACGGTTTTACTCGCATATTGTGCTAACTTCACCTACGCGGCCTTCAGCTCTTTCAAGATAAACAATTCCATTGTATTTCACATTTTAATCTTATAGAGATTGCGCTAACAGCTTTTCCATCAGTGTCGGTTAAAACCGAGATGATACTACATTTCTTCCTATAGTTTATCTCTGTGTTTATATTCATCGGAATGCGTCGATATTCGCTAGTGGGTTGAGGGTGAGTGAAGATAATGCCATTCTCCTCGTGACCTTATCGTTATCCCTGTGATCGAATCAGTGTGTGGTGAATATGCAGCACTGTGAGACTGATAATCAGACAGAGAATCATGGTTTCGTAGTCTAATTTAGAATGTTATCCTCTGGTAACAACCAAGGTACTCGGTAGTCTCGACACATTCGACTTTGTCGCATTTGGTTGGTCTTTGCAGACTCGATTGTGTCTGCGGCTCAATAAACGATCCCATCTACGCTAATCATGTGGCAGCAACTTCGATATCAGAGTCATTAATTGAAGCTTGTCAGCGCATTGCAAATTATTCTGATTGCTCTCAGCTATGACAGTCTATTATGTCCATGTGTTTGGAAAGAAATGGTTAGAAAATTGTTATCGATCTAAAAATATTCTTATGTAGGCTCAACGTGATCCTCGACATCGACAGATAAACAGATACTAGTCAATATGAAGATTAACCGTGGTTTGACTCCAAAAACCAACGTGGAAGATAAAATTTCAGCACACTTCTCAGTATTCAGCGAATTTTTTGTTATTTAAGATTCAATAGATGTTGTTCGTATACCATTCAGTGCTGAATTTAATGGGTGTCATTTTGAAAAATCATTAACTATTCAATTGGATATTATTAAAAGATTAATTATTAATACTTCAAGTGTATGGTAAACTTTCGTTTCAGTTTTCAACTTTTAACTATTCTATAAGAAAGAATTCAGAAAACTGAAGAAACTGAGTGATTATTGTTTTAAAATATATCATCTAAGTGAGATTTTTAGAGTATTCTCAGTTTTGAATGAACACAATGTTCATTACTTTCAAAAATTCGTATACGAACGATACGCTTTATGCAAAAGAAAGTTGATACTCTACTGCACAGTTTGTATATCACTAGAAGAAAAATCTTTCACTTTCGTTTTGTCTGCACGTCACGTTTTTCCTTCTCCCTTTCCTATGCAGTTTGTTAGCAAATCAGGGGACGTAAACCTATGGAGAAATCAGGGCTCCCGATCAGGTTTACCATGGTATGTCATTCGAGGTAAAATCCAAAGTCTTATCGTTCCAAAACCACACTACGAAATCCAATCTCAAATAATACCAGTAGGTGGCCAAAACATTTCTCTTCAAAACTACGCAAGCTCTAGGTCTTCATCTCCTTTGGTTCCGGAGATACAGACGTTTTCCGAGGACACACCTATCTCGTTGCAGATACGTCTGGAAATCTCAGAAACATGTGGATCATAGATAATCCACCACGCTAATCATCGTGGCGATGTTCGTTTCATTCTGATAGATCTGCCTGCATCTTTTCATGAAGAAGGTTATTTTCAAAAAATCTTTTTCTGAAGTACGTCTCTCAAAAGGTCTTTGGAAAACTATATCATAGGTCAAAAGCTTGAAATACAACTAGTGTGATTTTTTTCATGGATAGATAGTCCAAAGTGTTCTCTCCAAAATGGCAGTCAAGCGGGGCTCTCATCTTTGATTGTTTAGGCCCGGTATCGAATTTCCCGGGAGTTCCAGGACTGATCCTTTTTCACATGTTACAACCTCAGAAATGGTTCTAAACAGGGGTTATCGACCACGCTGAATCTCATGGCAACGTTTGCTTTTACAAGGAGTTCAAAGATCTGCTGAAAACTGAGTTTTTACAAAACCTGAGATTTCAAGGTTGTTTTCACCTAATATTAAAAAATTTACAATTCACTCAAAGAAAACCGAAAACGAAGTTACAACTTCAGGATATGACTGAATTTGTCTGGTACACCTGCTTATACCATCGAAAAAGTCGAAAACCTTATTTTTACCCCAAAACCTTTACAAGAATCCTTTCGTAAAACCATCGAGTTTTGTAAAGTTCCACAGTTTGTCTGAGAGACGTACTTCACAAAAAGATTTTGAAAATAACCTTCGTGATGAAAAGATGCAGGCAGATCTTGGCTTCCACTTGGTGAAGACACCAAGCATCTACCACTTTCCTATCGAACGTTATTCAAGAAACATCCGAATCCATTCTTCTTTTTCATCGACAACATAATTTCGTTTTCCAAACTGATATCACTTTTCAAAATTGATAGAATATGCCATTTCCAAACTGAGATCATTTTTATTTCTTTAATTATAAAAAGTGATCTCAATTAAGAACGAGCCTCAAATAATTATGATATTTTATTAGCTGGATGAGAAAGAGAAATTTAGTATTCAAGTGCCTTCTTTCATGATATTAGTCATGTACATACGAAAACGTTAGTTTAATCAATCGTGTAAGAAAACTCCTTCTGCAGAAGATGATAAAATAGTCAAATGGAGCAAAAAATAACTTTTGCTGAAAGTTCTATGCAAGCAACGGATCGTAGTGAATACTATGAAGTTAGAGAACATATAATTTGTGTTTTATCCTGTTGTGATCTTGAAAATTTATCACAATAAATAATTTTAGCTTGATATTGGCTTTATTCGATTTCTTATCTTCAAAGATAAGTTATTGGAAAAGAAGAAAAAAAAAATGGATTACAATTTCATTACCATATGTGCATTAGGTTCCTCATCGTTACTCATGAGGTTTTTATTTCACTAAAATATCGCGATTGGAGACAATAACTTTAAATGGTGAAGGAAATATCGCGGTAAAATTCAGAATTATCCAGACACAATGGTCGTTGACCTCTATCGGAATAATAATGCTCTTCCGATTAAGAATTTTATCGTGATATTTCTAATGTTTATTGTCATAAAATAAAGTATTCCTTAATTTCTAATGTTTATTGTGATCAAACTTATTATTGCAAGATCGCTGTAAATATATTTTATCTCGATGTAACCATATAGTTTTATTTAGAGTTATAAATAATTGAATAGAAAATTAGATTTGCTACATTTTATGTTCAAGACAACAACCGAAAATGCTTTTTTCAAACAGCAAACACGAATCTCTAAAATATCTTCTCAATGATTTCATCTCTTATCAACTACTACATGTGTGCCTGGTAGCTCAGTCGGTTGATTAACCCCGTGGAAAAATTCACCCAGCTGTTAACCTCACGCTCCTACTTGATTGTGATAACCTAGTGCCCGGCTCACTACTAGGTTGGAGCTAGCTAACTAGGTAAAAAGGTACGTTTAGTTAGATCCATTACGTGCATAACCGCCGGATTACGTCGTCGATGGAGCCAAATTTTCGCCGCAGAGCAATTTTGCTTGGCCGAAGAAAGAGAAGGGACATACAATAAAAGAATATGACCCACTATTATAAAAGAAAAATATGCAAAAAAAAACTCGAAAATAGTAAGTAGCTTTTAAAAAACCAGTAAAAATAAGAAAAACATTACAACACATCCAGCACCAACTAATAAATAACAAATGGAAATTATAAGGAGTAATAATATTAGTGCGCTTTTTGGAAGGCTACGTGTGGACTTCACGGCGTCTGTCAACCAATTTGAACATTGAATTGTAATATTTTTTACTCGATCAGAATTTTCGCATTTTTCTTCGCAGTCAACTGACTTACGAGGTTGTTCTAATCGCTGAACAATATAATCGGCAACTTCTGTAGCCTTCATATCCTTGATATTTATGTGACCATCAAGTCCATAAATACCATCTATTTCGCTTGTGCCATCGACGCTCAAAAGCATAATTCGATGATATTGTTTTGTCTTAATAAAATTTCTAATAGCACGCAGTTCTAACCCACACCACTCTCTTTCATTGTATTGTTTACACATGAATATCACAATTAACTTTGTCTCATGACGATAAATCGATTGTAAATATAAATCAAGATTTATTCGTGCTAATTCTGCGCGATGATAATGATCATAAAAAACAGCGATTTTATTTCGTAATGTTTCAGCTATTTCTTGGAATATAGGACGTACTTCACCCGGAAAGGAAAATGCAACATCGAAACGTTGCTTGTATTTATTATGAAATAATGTTTCGAGAGCATTATCGAATGGTCGAAAATGATCACTGAACGATTTATGACTGGGTAGATTAACTCCACGTCCAAACTTTGAGACGAAATATTCATAATTCTGAAAGAAAATAAATTGGAGACATGAATGAAACGATTAACCGACGTTTGAGCGCCCGACATTTGAGCGCCGACATTTGAGCGCCGACACTTGAGCGACCCGACATTTGAGCGACCGACACTAGAGCGATCGACCCTTGAGCGACCCCGACAGTTGAGCGACCGCCACTTGAGCGACCGCCACTTGAGCCACCCCGCCACTTGAGCGACCGACACTTG